ATTTAATTCCGCTTCACTTAACACGATTCCCATAAATTATGTAGATTGATTTCAAAATCACATTACAAACACATCAACTGCACACGAAGAGAGAAGCTTGAAGATTTAAGACTCTCTGCAATTTGCCCCTCGGCTCATGGAAAATGTGGGAAATCAGATTTTGGAAATCAATTTGATTAGGAACGAGATTCTAATTTTATCTCAAAAAGAAAAGAATTTATCGATTCACTGGTCAATTGAGGTTGTAATTGAGACTTCAAAGAGAAGATTTTCGTGAATTAAATTAAAACAAACTTCAATTTAAGAATTGTTTGTGGAAATCGATTGCTTACGTTCCTTGAAGTGTTGAACGACGCAGTCAATATTCGATTTGATTCTGCAATTTCTTTCTCGATTGCCAATACTTCGAAAGGCTTTCAGACGTCCAAAGAATTTTCCTTCTCGTCGACCTACATAACTTAAGTATTTGTTGAGTAAGAGAGAAGTGAAGAGTGTTTGGCTGCTGCTGATACAAGCACCTTCCATCATTGCGTCAAGCTGAATGTGAAAGAAAGAAAAATTGTTTGTACAAATGGCGAAGAAATTTTCCACGCTAACAGCTTGAATTTCCTTTTATTTCAATCCACTTCAATCACACAATTTCTCTTTCCCTTAAAGTTTCTTTTGACATTCAAAATATTCTAAGTGAATTAATTTATTCATTTACGGAATGTTTGAATGATGGAAGTTAACTTTAAATATTCAATTCGAAACACATTCAAATGTTTACTCCCTCAACTCAATAAAATATCAGTTTACAAAAAGCGAAGTTGTCATGTAAAGTGCCAATTACGAGATGAAATAATTCGAATCTCAGGGTTTATTTGTGAAAGAAAAACATGAAATTGCTTTCTGTTCCGATTCCATTTTTTCGAGGGTTGTTGTGCGTTTGTCGAGATGTTCGATTTAGCAACTTGAATCATTTTCCGACATTAAATGCATTAAATATTTAAGATTTGTTACAATTTGAAGGCAAATTTAAAAGGACCAAACATCGAAATGGAAAAATTTAATTAAAAGAGCAAAAGCTTTCCACTTATTAATGAAATCTGTCTCTGAAGTTTCTGCTTTCCTGAAATCTTCTCGAGTCGAGTAGAAACATAAATTTTTCTTCCGAATTCCTTGGAATGTTTCAAATCATCCATCACCAATATAATAAATATTTGTTCATGCTCGAAGAATGTGCCAAGGTTTCTCCTCTGCTTAATTGTTCACTAATTTGTTTTCTCCTTTTGTCTACTAATCATTAATTCTCTCGAAAGTGCTGACTACAATTGGAAATAAAAAGAATGTTAACATTGTAAATGTATAATAACTCGAAGTATGGCAGCTAACAAAAGACATGAAAGAGAAATCATTTCGTTCAGTTTCATTAATTTCCAATAGATATTTCTTTTATTCTTCCATTGCTCACCGTCGTAATAGTTTGCAAAGGCATCGCATCATTTATCATTTGCATTGGTCGTCCCTTCCATTTCACTTCTCTTCCTTATGATCCTGTTAAAGTGTGCTATTTATTTTGGACGATACAAATGCAGCCAGACTTTTATGGTGCAAAACTGGGTGAAGTTAGCAGACCCTAAAAATTTCAATGACATTAAACATTTGACGCAATTCTGATGCTACAAATGAACAGCATGAAAACGAATCAAGAGAAAAAGGGGGACAGAAAAAAACTGTGCAACCTGATCAAATAGAATCTTTCTGAAAGTTAACAGACATGTTAGATACGCTTCAAACCATGAAAAATTATGTGCATGCACATTCTGCCAGACGGGAAGTCAAATGGTGTGTAGCAAATCTCTATCAAGCATTTACTCGAGCATACTAAATACATTTTGAGCAAAAGTTTAGCTGAGAAATAAAGATCTTCAGTTATCCTTGTTAGTTGGCAAATCCCTTGTCCAATTCAAACATAGTTAAAATTCACAGCATTATTTGCTCAATCAACAATTCAATGAAGTATTTTATGAAGATGTAGCAACAATTTCTTATCTTTATTTTATTAACGTTTCTTATTCATCAAGCATCTGAAACGTTAAAGTTAGAAACAGTTTGTAATGAACACTGGCAACCATATGCCATGGCTTCAGAAAGAAACTTTCACAACCAACATAGAAAAACGAACAATTCTAGAAAGAAGAAACTCTGGTTAACCTCATTGAGTTCATATATTCAACATAGAAAATTTCCATAAACCACAATGGAACTAAACAAAAGGCTAATATAATTTTTCATCTTAAAGTTTAAAGTTTTGACTGGTATTGTTTCGTTGTGGCAAAACTTTTTGTTTGAAAAGAACAAGAACACTCGGAAAGCATCAATTAAGTCTTAAAACTGAATTTCAAGCTCTGAAAATTCTGCAGCGGTGTGACTCGAATTTTAAACTGTCAAGAAAAATAATTCTAAGAAATTTCTTATCTAAGTTTTAAGAAAAATGAAATTTGTATCACGATTCACGTTGCAAAAGTGCAATAATAAAATTGGATTACATTTTGTGTTCTTGGCGAATGTCATATAAACATATATGGGACAACTGGCAGATATTTCTTATTTTCTTTATCTCCACTGAAGTTTCTGTGATAGAATTTTATGAGAAGGAACGAAATTTAAAAATTTTAAGAGAATAAAATAAAATTTTAATTCTATTACTTTGAAACGAAAGTTTTACGAGAGTTAAACGAGAATGAAATGAACAACTAATTGAAATCGTGCAAAGAATTTATAAATTCTTTAATCTCTGAAAATAAATTTCTATTTTTTATTTTTGATGACATCTGACAAAGGCACGGCTTCATGCTTCAAGCTAGAAGAATCCTTTCAAGAAAAGATTTGTAAATTTTATTCGATTTATAGGAATTTTGAAAGTGCTTCAGAATCCACAAACCCATTTAAATGGTTACATTTAATATGCAAATAAAAAGCTCAGCTTTATGGTGCCATAACAATTTCAACCCGTTTATCTGGTGATATAGAAAATAATTTCCTTAAAAATGCTTCAATCTCTTCAATTGTGTGAGATTAAATTGATTTGGTATTAAGGAAATGGTTGAATGTTAGACCAAGAAAAACAAAAACAAAACATTACAAAAATGATAATCTAAAGAATAATAAAGGAAAATGTTTCTGACGCTTAAAATTCTTTGAATAGTTGTGACAAAATTGACTGCGAAATTGTTAAGTGATCATAAATATTTTCATGAATTTATTAGGAATGTTCATAACTTTCTTTTTTGTAAACAAATAAAAGACAAAAACAATTTGAGTAAGAACCAAAAAAGCATTCGAAATCCTCTTGCTCTTAACCCTTTTCACATATGTACATATGTCGTTATAAAGTTCAAATTTTGACAATATCATCCGCTTTTGAAGTTGATATTTATGTTTGCCGACTTCACATTTATGTCAAATAAAGTTTATGCATGTCTCGCTTCAACATGAGTATCTGCTACATATTTTTGTCTCATCTCGTGAAAATCCAACTTATACATTATTAAAAGACTTTGCAGTGATTCATTGTATCATGTTTTGTTCATTATCTTAAAAGCAAAGTTAGAATGAAAATTTCTTAAAGGGTCCTTTTCTCAACAAGCTATTCGATCAATCTGAATGATTTTAATCACACACACTCAACATCAAGGGGTTGGTTGTCTGATATTTTGTAATTTCCTTTTAAAGCCAACATGATAAATTAAAATTTTAATCGATCTGTGATGAATTGATGAGAGTCGATAACGATGACTTCATGTCATTTAACTTGTACAAAGAAATCTGACAAAAAGTTATGTCATGACGCTAATGACAAGAGTTTTTTTTCGTTCAGCTTGAACTAGAAAATGATTTACTGATTGTATGAGCGAAGGAAGGGATTGAAAATTTGAATTTCTTTTTGGTTCGATTTATCATTTTATCACTGCACTTTTGAAATATCATTTCATGTGCAGGCAACATGACTTGCCTTTTTAAGAATGAAGAATCAAAAATACGAAAGGAAAATTCGTAATCACCCTACTCTATGATAAATATCTTTAGATTCATGAAAACCCATTATAACTTTGATGTCTATTCAACATATCCTTCATGCTTCAGTTATCTATTTGCCTTCATATCTTGTGCTAAGTTTACGCGTGTAAGAATACGCCATTAGCTATCATGCAAATTTATGACTTCGAAAAATGAGACTAGAACATGAAAGCGACGCCGTAGCTGCTGTACATATGCAATGATTAATAGTTTAGAAAATATATTTCCATAAGTCGTGTCTGACTGGTGTTTAATATAATGACGGTTGGATGATAAGGAAAAGCAACCTGGATTCAATGCCAGTGCGTGTAGGAACGAATCCCCAGACAAAATTCATCAAAAACTTCTTGATAATTACAGCGAACAACTCATAAATAATTTTCTTTCAACTTACCTTAAATTATTTTATTCGTAATTACAAATTCTATTTGAATATTTACAACGTCAAGTTTTCTCAAAATTATGAAAAGTGAAATTTTCTTTAATAAAATATTTTTCTTTGAAACTCACAACTTTATAAGATGAAGAAACATTAGAAATAAAATTGGTAAAAATAATATCTGGCGTTAAAAAGAAGAAATCCAAGAGGGAAAAAACTTTTCTTACTTACATCTTAAAAAGAGCAGAAAAAGTTTATTCAAAGGAAAATTTAATGGGTTTGTATTACAAAACTTTTTGTTTCTGTTGACAAATAAGTAAAAGTAAATAAAGATTGGTACGAGAGAACACGCTGAAAAGTTTCTAAATATAAATTAATTCTGATTGCTTATACTTTCTCCTGTGTAACAAGCGTGGTAACGTCTGCTTCAAAAGAAAATTGTGCGTTGATACACCCGAGATTTGTTGTTGTTTCTTCATCCCCTCAAGAGTGATGAAGTAAAGTATATTCGAAATAATAAATCACCCGATGCTCGGTTATTCTCGCTTCTTCTTCCCCAACACAAAGATGTTTATGAAAGTAAATCAAGTGTAAGACATTGAAGTGGTGAATGAAGATATCTTGAGCTAAGCTTATAATAAATTGTCACCCTCAGCAATTTGTAGCAATGAATAATGTGTATGTTAGAGACATTTCTTGTGCTTAGCGTTATTTATTTATTCAGTCGCATTAAATACTTAGTTGCACTGCAAGTTCTTATCTAATTGTATAAATATTTAACAAGAATTATTCATCTATATTCAGTTAAATGCATTGCTAATTGCTAATTATAGCAATAAATTTAATGTGCTCTCAAAATTTTATGGTCGTTATGAAATATTTTCATGGAAGCTCGAAATATCTGCTAATGAAAAGTTACAAATTCCAAAAATTTTGGAATATTTCAATCAGAATAAAACATGAATGAATTAACATCACGAGCTGAAGAAATTCTTCAAAATTCAGAATTTAACACTATAATTCCATGTTTTAATAATTAGACACCTAGATCATTGCAATCGCCATTAACACAACATTTAATTGAAACTACTCCCTCGTTTTTGCTTTCATAGCAAGCAACGCTTTTTGAATTTGGGAGTTGAGCACTAATAAACTGAAACAGAAATTTTCATTAAGCAATATTCATAATTTCATTTAATTTTCAATTGAGACTTTAGTAAAGCTAAATGTTAGTGCTTTTGAAATTCTGAACTGTTTTCAGATACGTTTATGATATTTGAAGCTTGATTAATTTTTTATTAAATATTTAGAATTGCCGGATAATGAAAATGTTTTGAAAAGCGTGTGGCAAACTAAATATTTCAATAATTCTACCCGCAAATGAGTTGACAAGAAGAAAAAGAACATCACAAACTTTAATTCAAACTAATCAAAAACTGTAGAATAAATAATTAATCCTCAAATTACTCTGGTTTGCATCATCATCTTACAGAGCTTGTCTTCTGGTAGTTAGTTAAAAAGTTCAGAATTCTTCTTGATAAATTATTCATTTGGCTTTGAGTATTTCCATCTGCTTTTATTCTCTCTCTGGACCTTTCTGTAGGATGTGAACCAATTTTAATTAGAGTAAAAATAATTTTGAAGCTTTGGGTCATCACGGCTGTTTGGTTAGGATTTAAAGTCTTAATTGAGTGCCGCAAGAGATCTGTTTAGGAAGTCAGCAGGAAGTTCGTTTTCTAAATTTTGGGATCACTTCAATTCAGGAATTCGTTCTTTAATTAGTACTTCTTTTGACATTGTAATAAAGAATCTTTCATTTGGATGTAAATTTGAAAAGAATCTTTCTTAATTAATAAAGTAGACAAGCATAATTGACACTGTGATGGCTAAACATCTAAATAATTAGAAGCTTGAACAATTTGTGGAGATTAAAATTCAAATCTTAGTCGAATTTAACATTCTTTAAAGAGATTTTCAAAATACAAACAAATTCAATAAAAATTGCCTCCAGTTAAGAACAAACTTCAGAATCTTTTTCATCTAACTTCAAATTGACAAATCGCTTCAATCAAATGTTTCCGAATGACTTGGTTTTCCGCTCTTTTTCGATGAATTGCCTTCTATTTGCCGTGGCTTTTAAAAAAAAAGCTCAAAATGAAACAAAACAAGATAAATCGAACAGGAAACTTCGACTTCTGGGCTTCGCTAAAATATAAGCAATTTTTATTCTGACAATATCAACTACACTGAGTTCGTGCTGTGTAATAATCTCTCTTGAAATAGGTCAGTTTTTCCTATACTGCTGACTGTTGGCATCTTTTTTTCGTCATATACCTATTTAGGAGAGATTCGGCTGTAACGTTTGCATTGTAACATCAGATGAAGGAGTAGAAATATGAAAACGTAATTTAAATTCACTCCCAAAAAGGAAAACATATGGATAGGAAAATTTCCGAACAGTCGACCGGATAAGTTAAGGATTGTCTCATGTCTGCTTTTATCCATCACTAAATCACTGTTTTATCAGGAAAAAATTACTCGTCACATTTGAGTTATGTTTTGGTTATGATGGATGAAAAATTGAGGCAACATTTATGGTTGAGTATGCTTCAAATCATCAGACGTATTCTTGTCACGTAGAACAATATTGAATGTACAACATAGAATAATTTTGATATTTTTAACATTTCCCTAAACTATATTAAAAAACAGAAATATTTACTTCAAGAAAATGTAATCACAATTCTATTTAAATGTGGAATTAAATATCAAATAAATTATGTTAATAATAATAAACATGAACCCCATGGAAATGATTCCATTTCCTTTTTATTTCTGTGTAAATCTATGTATTTACCTAATAGAACAAAAAACAAACTTAGCTTTAAAAACAAGATAATAAAAATGAAATTACATTTTAAATTCTATGAGCTTAATCGACTTTAAGAAATTTTCAACAATAACAAAGTTATTATAAATTAGATTTATTCTAAATCCACTCGAATCTCCTCGCATAAGCTGTTCTGTAAAAAATGTCTAAATCTCTGAATGAAAAGAAAATTTTAATGAAATTTTCCTTCTTTGAAATCTCTCGTGTAGGATCAGACCCTGAAAATGTTTTCTATGTTTGGTACAAAAAAAGATAGGAAAAAGCATAAAATGCATTAAATATTCACCTGATCACGTCTTCATTATGTCATCAAATCCTCTAGTGGATTTTGTCTTGATGACATGCTTAGTTTGTTTCAACCAGTAATTCTGAAACTATGCCAAAATTCTACCTGTGTCGATCTCATCTCATTAGCTTTTCATAAGTTATATTAAATTAAGCAATGAATATTTAATATTTGATATTGAACTATTTATGATTGATTTCATTATTCAGCTTATCCCAAATAAATGAAATTAGAGAAATTATAATTCATCACATTTGAAATATCAGAAAGAGAGAAATTTGATGAAAACAAATTAATAACAACGATGAAAATTCAGGAATGAAATTTCCCCATTGATTTGATGTTCTGTTTTGTTTCATTTCAACAAAAATGTATTTAATGGTTTGCCCTAAAAATGTGGATTAATGGCTGGAAAATGATGAATTGTAGTTTCATATTCGAGCGACAGGAATTTCCGTTTTCCTTGCAGCACGTCGCTTTTTAATGATGATTATTAAAGATTTCAAGTTACAAAACTTTTCAGGTTTGCTTTTATCCTGCATTTTCTTTTTCTATACAGTGGAACTTCAATAAACAGATGGCTCAAGGTGGATCAGTTCATTAAGGTTATCAGTTAATCAAGACAATTTTTGATAGTAATTCGATTCAAGAGGTACAAAAAATATTTGTTTATCGAGGTTTACTTGTTTATCGAGGCAACTGTTCATCGAAGTTCCACTGTAAAAAGATATTTTTCTCTTCTGTAACTGTGGAAACGATTAACTTTATTTTCGTAGTGCAATTTATTATATAAATATACTGTTTATAGAAGAATGTTCATTTATTTTTTATCTTCGTATCTACTTCTTTATTGATTTAGGGTGCAAACATTATCTAAATAGCTTCTCTTTATGATATCTCTCATATCAAATAATCGTATTTTTTTCTTGATATGATTACCCCATGTTCACGTAAACTATCTTAAGCAACGAGAAAAAACATAACAACATAAGATTTTTCTTTCTCTCCGTTTTTCTTCTTCCTTTCAAACTGGTTTTAACACAGCGTATATTTACGAAATATAATTTATGTGAGCTTTTGGTGTTTAGATGTGCTTGGTAAGTGTCTAGCGATAAGAGAGAAGAAGCAGAAGAGGAAGAGAAAGGATGTTAAGAATTTTATTGGCAAACATTTATATCTTCGAATCATGCCAATCGTTTTGGCAACACATGAAAAGCTTAACCGAAGCACAAGATTGTAGAGCATCGGGTAGGCCAATTGACAAACATAACGTAATGACTTCCTGATGGTTACAACATTGAATTTTACAGTTTATAAAGCTTTACAGCAGTTTCCAAATAAGAAACGTTTCATAGTCTTTCAACTTTAATTTTAAGTTTCTCGAACTTTAACCGAAATAAATTCACCGCTTTATCATCTGCTGTCAAATAGTAGTTTATGAGCATACCAATAAGGTTCCCTTGTTTGATGGTTCGTAAAGAAATCAATTTCCTTCGCCCGTTTTGGAGCGGATTCGATTTCAATCAATAATCGATAAAGAGCAACGTCTGAAGCAGCTTTTAGAATATTAAATTTAAACAAGTCGAACGAAACTCTTTCCACAGAGATAATCGAAAAAAAATTGAAGAAAATTTTGTTTCATTCAAAACAAAACAGGGAAAGAAGACGAAAGAAACAAACAAGAAAATAAATAAAATCGAGTTTGTTAAGAAATCAATTTCATGATAAAACGAGGCAAAAGATTCGTTCATACATGAAAAAATAGAGAAAGACATGAGAAAAAAAGTTCAAGCACCAAGTGCCTAATCTAGATTTGTTTTGGCAGAAGTGGATCTTTTTCTTCTCCCCTTTTGTTCATGACAGGAATTTTTTGTGCCTAAATAAATCTTCAAAGAAACTTTTATAAGTTTACGAAATAAAATATCCAAAAAAAGGAGAAAGAAGATAGAAAAAGTACTTTGCAAGTTCGAAGACATTTGTTCTTTCTGAATTGCCCTTCTCATCTAAATGAGGCACAACGAGCATAAAGTTTAGCAAGTTTCTTATTTGGATGATTTGGGTCTACGCAATTTTATATTCGGTTAGATCAGGATTCTGGATATGTTCGAATAAATAACGTACGCCTGACTTATTTCAATGACAAATGCGAGAGAATTGGGGTCATTAAGTGAACTAGTCTCGTTTTTCATTTTTTATCGTCTTTTGTGCCTTCCTATCCAAGATCTGCTCATTACACAACAAGAATACATTTCTGGATTTAATGTACGAATGCATGTATAGTTAGCTAGCTGATAAATCGTTAACCCTGTCTCATATTCTATTCAAAAGCTTTCTACCCGAGCTACAGCAAAAGTCGTTCACTTATATGGAACTCGATTTACCATTTTTCACTTTCGTTTTGCAATTTAAAACTTTTTTTTGTACAATCAACAATGCTTGCGATTTTCAGAAAAGGTTTAAGAATTCTATGAGATTGTAGGAGAAAAAATGACAAAAAATTTCATGTTAACTCGAAGTGACAAGATTTTTACATTATCGATTTGATTTTTCACATCTGTTCAACTCCAAAGGGGGATAAGACATGTGTTTGCCAAACAAGCTACAAAAGTATAAAAAAAACTTCTTTTTTTATCTCTCATTGGATTACAACATTCTCGACATGAAAATTCGAGATTTAAATCTCGGGATTGTCAAGTTTTGCAAATAGAAGAAACTCGTTTAATTTCGTACTCATTTGCTATCACGTCAGGAAAATTGTTAACATGCTTAGCCGCATAATAAATCATTCTAATTAATAAGGCCGTTATTAACCTCACGCATGCTATATAAAGATTATAATTTACCGCCTATTCGCATAAACCTATTAGAATGAAATCGCAAACCATTAAACGAGTAAACATTCAATTATATACAATGATTGTGCTATTAAAACACATGATGTAAACTCAAACGCCGTTTATCCATAAGCTTTTCCCGAACAATCTTTCGAAAGTAAATTGTGTGCTGAGATTTTATAAACTTTTCGTCAATATTCGTTATCTGAACCCAGTTGACTTTGAAATAAATAAAAGAACAAGAAAAGCAATAAAAAAGTTTTTTGTTTTAAAAAAGTTTTAAGATTTTCTCAAAGAATCTTGATTTCGATTGATTTTATTTGAAATCAGAAATATTCGATGGTTGAAAAGCATATCTGATTACAGAATCTTCAATTTGTATACCTTCTTTACCTTTCATGCCTCTCACTTTTATTTCACTTTGATAAGAATACGAATTCAAAAATGAAAATCTAATAAAAACAAAAGATTAACAAAAGCTTTTCTTCTGAATTTTAATCTGAAAATTTTAATCTTGTTCAATAAGAAAAAATTTTGAAAAAACTTAATAAACAATTTTCATTCCATATTTTTACTTTGATTTAAAATGGGAGTAAATTTTACGAAATTGTACTCAAAGTGAACCACAGCAAACTTTGTTTAAAGAAAACTTCAATGGTTCTGTTTTTTTAAAATCTTCTACATGTTTATAAGCTCTTAATAGAAAATTCTTGGCAAGATAAACTTTGAGAAACTTTTCTTTAAGATTTAAATGAATCGTAAGTAAGAAAAGTTTTGTTTTTAAGCTTTAAGAGAAGAAACTTAAAATAGATCTTTCATAATATGCTCAATTTAATCTTTTTGTTTAAGTTTAAAATGCGTTAAAATATGATTGAGTTTATTTCGATTCCATTCCCAATAATCTTCAAGGATTTTCTGATCACAAACAAAAAGAAAATCACGTTTCAAAAGATGTTAAATATATTTATCTTTGACATCGAATCATCTAAAGGATTCATAAAAGTCTCAAATAACAAACAAAGAACATGAAAACTTGAAAGCTCTTAAAACTTGTTATTTGATATTTATAGAAGGCTATTATCTTCAAAGATATAAACATAGAAGCATCGGTGTTTAGGCTTTCTAACACTTAGTGTTATTTGATATTTTTGCACATATTTCCCGAAAACTTAGAAAGCATTGTTCAATTTTAATTAATTATTTTTGTTTCTAGGTTGTTTTTAATATATTTGAGTATTCCAGAGTAAAAACATTCTATTGTATCGATCTCAAATGGAAGTAGACAGACGAAGCGGCTCATATAACAATAATGAATGGAAGAATGTTCAATCCACATGCATGAAAGCTTTCATTTAACCACAAAGTAAAATTTCTCAAATATTTTGGAGAGTATTAAGATGAAATCAAAGAATTTAATTTAAAACCCAAAAGTAAAAATTCATCTGCTTTTTTAACCTCATCAAAAAATGTTTGGAGTTCATCAACTTCTTCGAGAAGAATATATTATTCCAGATGAAAAAATTACAAAAATAACATTCCAGGTTTATGTTATTGCGGGCAGAAAATTGCGGAACGATTTTTAAAATTTTATAACCGTTAAAAATTAAATGCGTGACAAAATATTTTGTAAATTTTAATTTTAATTATAAAATGAGATAAGAAATGAAAATATAATGTATTTAGCTTTATAATTTCTTATCTTAATCATTAAATCATGTAGAATTTAATTTTAATAACATAAAATTAAATTCTTACATTGATATTTCTAACGGTAAAATATTCAAAAATATCCGCAATTTTCTGGCATGGAATAATTTTTCCGCAATAATCTGGATTTGGAATAGTTTAGTCGCGGAAAAATATATTCTTCTCACTTCTTCATATACGTGCAATTTAAATAAAATAAATCTTTTCACTTTAGTCATTAAAAGTTATTTCAACTTCAAATTCATGAGAATTTTTCATGTAGACAAATAAGAAAAAGTTTTTCTTTCGTTCTTTGGCGAGAATTTATTATGAATTTCAGTTTATTAAATATCTAGTCTCCTTCCAGTTTCCATATTTTTTTTTCATTTGAATACTCAGACTGCAAAGCTGGAATGTTGAATTAATTAAAACTTGTAATTTATTCAACATTTTGTTGCCCAATAAAGTGCAGCAGTTTTAATGCAAAAAATAAAAGAAATTTATGGTGAAAAACATGGTGATTTCGAATTTATTAATGAAACATTGTAACCAGACAATTATTGTAAATGTTTTGTATCAACAAATATTTTCAGCTTTATCTCTGTCTGAGGTTGAACATCAGAAAGCTTGTTGAAATGAAAAACCAAGTTTAAATATTTTCTGCAATTCTCAGTTTGATTTTATTGAATTTTTTAATGTTCGTGAGAATTGTGCTGATGTTGTATTAAAAATTGACTTTTTCTTGTTAACTTTGACTTGGAAGTTTTATAAGTTTGAAGGGAATTGAGTTATAAATTCATTTCATTCATTTTCAGAACAAGAACTCAAAAGTAAATCTCCATGAAAAGAACAGTCGAATGAAAACTTCGTCAGCAAATGTTATGTCATTAAGGACAAATGGAAATGCAGATTACTCTCAAGAGAAAATCCGTGGCGGTGCATTAACTGAGTGCTCACATCCGATGTAAATATGTAATCTGACAAAAGAATGAGAAAGGGAGAACGAGAAAAATGTCCCTTAACGAGACTCCAAGCAGAAATATTCTCATTCGGATGATTGCTTCATCATTTCAGTGTTGACGGAGACATGCTTCCGATGAGCTTTTTGAAATAATGGAAAATGTTTGTCGAAGAATCAAATCCTCTGGAGACAGAAACGGTATTACATCAAAATCTATAAAAGATATTTCATGCTTCTAATTCTATAAAAGCACGTTTCAATTCGAATTGTTTTCTTTAGTTTTTTTAAAAATGTTTAGAAATGTTTTGAAAATCTTGAACAGCTTTAATAAACAGGTTTAGGATAAAAGTTTCTAATCATTTTGACACTTCAATTGAAAATGTCGAAAAAAGATTTAAACATTGTTTAGACTAAAATTTTCTTTTTCATCACAGATTTGAACTCGTAATTTTCTTATTAAACTCAACGAAAATACTCGTTAAGCTTGAAAACAAATCACAAACATTTTCTTGAGTTGAACACATGAAAGCACCTTCTGAATCACATCTATAAAGCTATGAGATTTACAGACGTTAAAAAAGAAAAAGGCGGTAGAGCAAAGTTAATCCAAGCGAACTCAAAAAGCTTTTACGCTTCAAGTAATACAAAATATTTGTTTCGTGCTCGTGTAAGACAAGAAAAGTGTTTCATAGAAAATCCCCTGATTGATTACACGCATGTTCTTTTCCATCTTGAGGTTAATGAATAAGTTGAATGAGAATAAGAATTGATTTGAGTTTGATAAATTCGTTTTGTACATAGAAACACAACACGTAATATGTTGCGCTATACAAACTAATCTCACATTGATTCATTTTCTAAGGTTTTCTGGGAAATTTCATCATTATAATGATTATAACAGTAAAATTTATTCATTTTCAATTAAAAAGGAATTAAGGAAAATCATTTTATTATGAGTAAGAAAATTAATTCCTAAGAAGAAGAAAAAGAGGAAAATCAGTTTTTACAAAACACAAACTTCTAAATCGACAATTTCGGAAAGATTTCTATTTTTTATCTCCACACATGCAAACAAGAGTGATTTAAGAAAGTTGACATGATAAATTCAGTGTGAATGAAGCTGGTTTTAATGCACGAGTGAGGAAACGAGCGTGATATGAATATCTTAATTCTATACTTTTCGCTGGCTTTTTAGTGCTTGCGAATTTTGTATGGTAAAGTTTGCTTTTAAAAAGTTACTGGATTTTTAGGATTAAACATTCTTTATTCATGCTTTTAATGCGAAATATTATCTTGAACAAATAAGAATGTTTAAAACATTTCCTTCCCCAGATAAGCAATTAGCCTTCCCAATGGATCAATGCTGAAATTAAACTTGCATTAGATTTAATAACATTCTCCAATCGCTACGTTATTGATAACAAACTTTTATTAAGGATTATGTCAACATTTTCTTTTTATTACTAATAAATTTGCTTTAACTAACAAAGCTGAAAGCAAACAGATTTGAAAAGCATTGTTATGTCGAATACATATCAATGTCAAATAATATATTTGTTTTCTGTCAATTACCACCTGTCCAGCTTGTTTGATCATCAAACTTTTATCTCTAACTAAAAACTCAGCATTGATTGATTGGTATTTGAGCGATTTTCAACATAGTTTTAACTACCAAACTAGTAATAAAAGGGGAAAAAAGTATTTTGAAAATATTTCACAGCTTGAATGAAGCTAATTGTGCAAACAAAGTGTCTGTAATTCTATCACAGAATTTCAACCCCATCCACATGTTTTCAAGTTAAAATTTCCACTGCAAACACCATAAATTTGGTTTCCTTTTCCTAACAAAATTGTGCTTGTGAAATGTTTGCAAAAATAAACCATGAAGAATTGAATGCAATTTTTTTTGTGCAAAGTATCGACAAGGGGAAAAATTTATTGCTATTGAATGTTCATTATTTTCTTTTTGAAGTTATTTTATTTTATGGTGAAAAATCAGCTTTAAATACTTCAACAAAATCATTTGAAATCTTTTACAACAATCGAAATTCTTAATTTCCCAAATCTGTTTACAAGAAATTTTGAACTAAGCAACGAACATTTCTTAATGAGCGTTTGAATGTGGAAGTTTCTCTCAAGCACTTTGAAATACCATAAAGAAGATTATAACATAGAAAATAATTTATTGTGATAACATTTGTAACACTAGACGAAAACGTAGAAAGAAGAAAAAGTAAAATTCCTTTGATTCAACGAATACTTTTTCATCAAGAAATATCCATTTAACCTTTTTCGCAATAAAAGATGAAAAAAGTTGTAGACGTTTGATAAAATATAAAACCACAGAAGAAAGATTCTAATTTTTTTATTTATTTTGAGATGTCTCATGATTGTTACATTTTCCTGATTAAAGTCTTTCTTTGAAGATGAAACTTTGTTTTTAAAGAAGATTTTCGTCTCTTCATAAAGCTAAGAAAGTCAAAATAAAATTATTTCATTTTTTTTCTCTTCCAGATGCTTAACAACAAAACATCATTAATCTCTCTTGAATCAGCGAACTCACTTCAATTTTAAGATGTGACGAAAGAAGCTTAAAATCTCAGATGATCAATTCTCTTGATGAGTGCTGATTAATATTACATTACACAGACTAGGAATTACTTATTTATAAGCTCATCATCAAATTGTTTACAACATAGTTTGCTTAAAATTATCGTACTATATTACTTTTCATGAGAACTCGTATGAACTTGAAGTTATTGATGAAAAGAATTCACCGTTTCCATGCTCGAGAAAAATGTTTTTCGTCACTTTCGTTATTAATCTTGTAATCAAGAATAATGATGAAAATTGATCTTAACAACACTCTAGAAACATCTTTCGAGCTGAACAAATTCTGAATTGATGAAGTTGAACTTTTGCTTATCTTTTTTCAAAGATTACACAAATTTCTAATTATTTGTCTGAACTGAATTTTCAAGCATCTGCAGAGATCCTAATACATTAATTTTAATCTTATTAATCTTATCTATGGGGATATATTTTACTCAATTAATGAGACATTTATAATAAAGACATATTGCAAATAAATCTTATTTAATGATTAGCTTGAATACTCAATTTCTATGCAACACTTCAATTTGACCTCATTAAATATTTTATTTCCTTGTCCCATTAGAATGTCTCGCAAATGGATTTTGAATTAAGTTTTCGCTGTCATTGTTGTTGTTAAAGAGACGGTGATGAAATGGTGGGAGAATCATGATAATAACAAAATACATTTTTGATGTCAAACAGATAATTAAAGTTCATTCAACTTTGAAGTTTGCTGTTAAATGTAACAGGAATTGACAACAATTAAATTGAGTGATAGGATTTTAATTTGTCATCAATCAATGAGTTTTCATTAGTTCGATGATTCATTGGAAATTTTTAAAATTATTTCAATGCATCAGAAGTTTAAGAGATGAAAGTCGTCAGATAAACATCAAATGTACTGAACATTCATGTCACTTCTTCTAGTCATTCTCATTCAATTTATTAATGTTCTAGAATTACAAGAGAACAAGATTTCTTTTCTTCTATGCTTTTCGATCTGCTTGACGTCTTATTTCTCGTCTTTTATTTTGCAGTCGCATTAAATTTCACAGCAACAACAATCAGCAATTTCAATAGAAAAATCACAACCGGAGACGCCTTTATGAGAGGTTTATGCATGCTTATTATGAGTTTAAAATATATAAATTCATATTTCTTCCCTTCATATTTATACAATTGATTTATTAACATCCCTTTTTCATGCTAATTAAATGAACGCAATAAATTCAAAGCACCAGCTAACCAGAATATGCGGCATGTTGAGTTCAGCTGTAGAAGGGAACGAAGAGAAGTTTCTCACTCAATATTTTGTTATGAACATCGTCGTCAGTCATCATAAAGGGTTTGATGATTGTTTTTGACTATTTTGTGAACAGTTTTTTCATTCATTAAACATAATAAACTTCAAGTAGATTGAAGAATTGCCCCGTTGCACAGTCGAATTGAGAAGAGAGAGATCGGATGACATCTGCTACTTAACTGGTGAACTTGAAGAGAGTTGAAAACCATTTATTGATGATCTCAAGGTTCAGTTGATAAATGTTCACATGACATAAGAAACCGTAAAAATATCCAAAGCAGAATTGGAGTCAGGAAAGGATGAATTTCATTTCATTTGATTCATTGAACAGGAAGATCGAAGTTGTCAAACACAAAGTCGAAGTTCAATGCCGATTTATAGATTAAGTCGTGATTGTTATCTGAAAATCAAACAGTAATCAATTGAGTAACAAAATGTTGGTTTTCTCTTAGTTCATAAGTGAATTTATTCAATAAGATTCTTATCGCTGTGAAAATGTGAACTTAGAATTACAAATTATGGCTTGAAACAAACAAAATTAAAGAAGAATTCTTCGGTTGGAATGCAAATTATTCGACAAAAAAGTGACGAAGGAAGAGAAATCAACGACAAGTCGATTCGTCTTCCATCATCATCGTCATATTAGAAAATCACGTGGTCCCATACAAAAATAAAGAAATTATTTACAGGATGAAAAAATCTTCTGTCAATGTCAAATGTCTTACGCTCATCATAAAGTTCATGTATCTATGTACACAATAAGTAAAGTTCATCATAAATGCTTCTGAGCTTCTCGCTCGTTCATTCGCACATTCTTTCGTCTCATCATTTTCAGCTCATTTTTTAATTATTAATCTTGTTGATTTTTCTATAAATAATTTTTCACATAATTAATCGTGCTATGTACTTATTTTGTAAATGCTTAATTCAGGCCAAAATCTCTTTCCAACTTCTTATCCAGCTTTTCTTTTGTTTTCTTCCAACTTGCACGTGAATTATTACAAAAAACATTTAATCATTTCTCTTTCGCATTTATAAATTAATTAATTAATGAATTAATGTTTTAGCATCGAAGCGAGCAAAATACACAGCAGCATTGCAGAATAAATATTGATTACTTTTCCCATGTTGGCTGATGCTGAACTGCTTAGCCAACCTTTGTCTAACAGGCCAGCACTGCGTAGAACGGTCGGAGTGTGTGATGGTTCAAGTTCAATGTCTAATTAAATGAAAATGAAATTTATTTTGAAAAAGGGAAAAAGCAAACAGGAAATTGAATTTCATTTCATTATTAACTCAAAACTCACCCTCGGATCGTGTGGAAAAATGAAAAACATTTGACAATTTGTTCCAGCCATGGTCGTTTCGGGCCTGCACGCGTGCTTCATAATTAGTGGCTGGCGAAAGATTTTTAATTAAGTAACTCATGTGGTGATGAGTGTTTATGTGGCTATTGTAGTGATATTCGTTGAGATTGAAGGTCGATGGTTGTGCCGGATAATACTCGGGAAAGTTTTCCGGTATCACAACATTCTCCCATTGATCTGATAATCCGGTCGAATACGGAGGCGAGTAATGATGCTGGTTACCAACAACAGTATTCTCAAAAGATTTATCGAGGTGCTGCTGAATCTGATGAGTCAACATGTACGACTTTGAAGTTTGTTTGCGATAGAATAATCGATATTCCCTTATAGGAGAATGGCTTTGAACATTCCATGTGATATTATATCGATCTCGGTAATCACTGATAGCTTTCTGTAAATATTTATATGCTCGTTTTCACGTCAAATGAAACCGTATTTTATAAGCCTACTTACTGAATCGAAATAACAAACAGTCGGAATGCCACTCAATGTCAAAGATCCACGATCCTTTCCCAAATTGTTGGATGCCTGACATGTATAGTTACCCAAATCCATGTACGTAACGTTACGTATTATGAGTGAATGACGGTTGCCCCGGTTCTAAGAAATAGAATCAGACATAAGATTTGATTTGATATTCTTGAAAATCACTTAGCATAAA